TGCAACAATGGATCAACAATGGCCGTCTCCCAGAAGGTTTTCACGGAGTGTTTCTGTTTGCGGACGCCGGGATGCAAGGACGACAATGCCTCTTTACCGAACGATCGATCCTATTTTACATGGTCGATCTGTGGCTGTCTAGGGTATTGGTTCAATGGTACTTTTTTCTTCAGCACGTCTCCCAGAGAAACGAATTGCGTTATCACGGTGGAGGAGTAGTGAATGAGTATCGTGCGAATTAATCGCCAAGTAGTGCGACAGGTACGTGATGTACGAAAGCATTTGTCAAATCAAACAGCAGCGAGCGGAACGAAAATTACTACTACGTAATTTTCAACATGGTTCACATTGTGAACCTTTACACACTTTATGGTTGTTCTGGAGCTCATACACGAGAAGCCCAGAAGAAAACAACCATACGAACAGCAACAAGGTTGCTACCACGCGGTAGGGAATCATCCCCACCAGACTCGTCCACAAAGTCAGTCTTACCGCACACCGGTGCGAAGACCAGCGAGACACGATGGATCGAGTCAAACACGACGACGCTGCACAGATGAGGCAAACACAAATATTGATGTGGACTTTCATACACTCACACCCTCACGACTTACGACTCATGACTCCACCACCACCACCATCCTCATCATCGCAGGAGATAATGGGAGGTTGGGTGCCGCCATAATTCACCGTCCCCACACGATGGGCAGCGGCAGGATTTCCACCATGCTCGCACAAGGTGATTCACAGGAAATGGGAATAAGAGCACCACCACCATTGAATCCACCGAATAAAAAATAACTCCAACAAACAGATTTGGAATACAGACAGGATCTGTTTTACAGAACGCATGACTCATTCGGATGAGAAGGGACGTGCATGGTCACGGTAGCATTGGCAAAGTCCTCTAGACCACCTTATACAATACTCTCTACGACATTACATGTCCTTGGCATTTCAGAGGAAGACGAAACAGTACTCACGGCCATACGAGTAGTATAAGCTAGAACAATTAACACAGGAATGCGCCAACTACAATTACTAATTCTGCTTCTTAAATGAAAGAAACGGCAGAAAAACAAAATATAAAACTGATAGGGAAAAAGCAAGTAGTGTATTGCCATCATGGGCCATCTTCTCTGGAGGGGAGAAGTTTGATATCTCTATTGGACGCTTTGGTGATCCCATTACGGGACACTATCACGAATTAAGCGATAAACGCTTCAGAGTTCTCGCATCGTGGGAGGCCCAAGAGAAATGGGCCGTGGGACGTTAATTACCCCAGCGGTCCTCTGCAGGATATAAACTGCAGTGGGCAGAATTACAACAACAGGCACGCGACGATGCCGTTGAACACGAGTATGCGCGCAAAGCGCAGGAGAACAGATGGTAGTAATGCAACACCAAACAACCCCGCGACGAGGGAAGAAGAAGAAACAGCAAAACACCATCATCAACAACAACAATAACAACAACAACAACAAAAAGAAGATTGACCAACATCAAACAGTGCAGCCTTGTTCAATACATGTTCGTATGGCTTATGTTCACCTACGATCTGTACTGTTACCTTGAGCAAATGAAATATCAGGTATAAACAGTCTAACGCTGCTTACTGAGATGGAAGCCTCCGCGACGTGAGGCGGGAGATTTGGTCATTAGAGTAGCCACAAAAAGGCTAACGCAACTATGGGGTACACGGGTGAACCCCGCCAAGTACTACACACGTACAGCGGGCGACTGCCTCGTTTCCGCTCTGGCAAACCCCCGACGGCCCGGTCCGCAAAGGGCAATAGCGAAGCACACGAGGCTCTCGCTGAGGTGGAGAATAC